CTTTTAGAGCCTCTAGCACGGTCCCCTACCACTCCCCCCCGCCCCAAAATCACAGCTTTGGTTCAAATACTGTCCCTTCTCATCTGTAATGTTCCTCCTCTGTGTTCACCTCAGTCTCACTCTCCTCATGCACCGTCTACACTGTTGGTAATCAACTCAGTTCCTATAAAGCAGCCAAAGTATAGATTTGAGAATGCAAACCAGAACCCTTTCCTCTCCTATTTTTGGGAAGCTTTTGTTTGTTTTGTTTTTGGCGATGTTGAGATTGAGCTCCGGTCCTTACGGAAGCTGGCTAGGCACTCTACCCCTGGCACGTGCCCTCTGCCTGCCTAGCCTACTTCCTTGGTTTTAAAAGGCTTCTTGGGGCCTGGAGACTTGTCTCAGTGGTTAAGGGCACTGGTTGCTTAACTAGAGGACCTGACTTCGATCCCCAGCACCCGCATGATGGCTTACAACCATCTGTGACTCCAACCCCAGGGATCCAACATTCTTTTTTGGCCTCCATGGGCACCAGGCACACAAGTAGTGCATGGACTTGTATGAAGTCAAAGCACCATACATGGGCTGGAGACAGGACTCAGCAGTTAAGAACACTTGCTGTTCTTGCAGAGGACCCAGGTTCAGTTCCCAGCTCCCATATGTTGGCTCACAGCCATCCATAACTCCAGTTCCAAGGGATCTGTTGCCTTCTCCTAGCCTCCATGGGCAGTGGGGACCCATGTAGTACACATGGAAACAAACATTTATGCACATTAAATAAAAATAAATCTTCAAAAAAAAAAATACTTGAAGCCAGGTGGTGGCGGCAGCACACACCTTTAATCCCAGCACTCAGGAGGTAGAGGCATGTGAATCTCTGTGAGTTCAAGGCCAGCCTGGTCTACAGAGTGAGTTCCAGGACAGCCAGGGATACACAGAGAAAACCTGTCTTGTAAAACAAAACAAAAACCCTGAACACATGAAAATTTTTTCCTAAGAGGTTTCTTTTCTGCTCTTGAATGAGATGCAGACATCTCTCCACAAGGCCATTTTCCTGTTTCAACACACCCCACCTTCCTGCTTTCTCTGGCCCAGCAGCTGGCCCTCCTTCAGTGGAGGGAGGTTCCAACCTTGCTGCCCCTCCCCCGGGACTCCCCTGTGGCCCTTTCCTGCCCTGGTTCCTGTCTTCAGGGCTCAGCCCACATGCCGCAAACATGCTTTGGGTCATGTCTGTTCTCCCACCCTTGGCCTTTCAACACTGCTTAAAATTCTTCACATCAGCTACCACTGTCAGAAATGACTTTGTTCATTTATTTAGATGGTATTACACCACCACCCAACTAACGTGTGGATTTCTTGAGAACAGGGACACTCCTGTTCTTACTGTTATCCGCTCGCTGGTGTTCGTACTATGTCTGATGTGCGGTAGTTAATATTTTCTGTATTACAGAGCAGTGAAATCTCCCATATTGCTCCTTTCCCTGTCTTTGTCACAGGGACGTGTTGGTTTTATCTGTTTGTATTTTACCTGTTTACATGGAAACGATCTGTTTTCTCCCCATCTTACATTCCTGAAGCTTGCAGGGGCTGGATAGCAGAAGATCTAAATGTGTGGGATGTATAGGGTGACAGGCAGGCGGCACCCCGGAGTGCCGCTCACTCAGGAATGCCTGGGGCTTCCGAAGCCTGGCCCCAAACTGAGAGTACCAGCTGCATACTCCTTACTCCCTCCATATTCTCTGTATTCTGCTTCAAAAACCAGACACAGGAAACATCTGAGCATAATAAAAAGCTTCCAGTAAATTCTAGCTCTCCTCATCGTGCAGCGAGCGCCGTCATGCTTTGGTCTGGGATTCTGTTCGGTTACTTGTGCAACACTCCACGTGGCCACCCCCAGCCTGGGGGCCAAGAACAGCTGGGGCCTGGAAGGCTCAAGTGAAAATGACATATTTGTTAGCTGCAGAGGGAGAAGCCTGGCTTCTTGCTCTGTTGCTTGCAAAGCAAACCTCTCACTTTTTTTGAATGCTAAGTTTTCCCGTAAGCTGTCAACGTGGTTTATAACTAAAATAATCTCACATCTTTTAGAATAAACACAAATAACGAATTGGCGAACCGTTTCTGGGCTGTGCTTTTAATACTCAAAACAAAATTCATTTGAACTTACACACAGCATGAATATGTCGCTCACTTCCTCTCGCTCGCATCATCTGAGCCGGGAATCCCGGAGCATAGCGACCGTTGCAGAGAGAGACTGCCTCCCCAGGAGACAACCACCTGCCTGGGCTGCCCTCCCTAGACCCTGATCACACTTCACCCCCAACCCATCCGCCTTCCTGGCCTGCAAGGCCGAGGCCTCTCTTACTGAGCGCTGGTGCTTGGTAGTATTTGAGGGAAGGGACCTGGGGGTGTAGGTCAGTGCGGAGCTTTGCCTAGCTTGTGCAAGGCCCTGCTTCCATCTCTAGGACCAAGGGATAAACTGGGAAGGAAGGAAGAAGAAAGGAAGAGGGTGAAATGCTTCATCAAGGGGTTGCTGTAGCTGGTCTGAGCTCTCAGGATCTGAATCCCAGTAACTGGAAAGCTGAACAACCCTCAGCACAGATAATGGAAGAGATCAGGAATCTGCTACGCCTTGGCTTCCACACCGGCAAGTTTGCGCAGTTATTTTTAATCCTTTTCTCCCCCCCACACACACCCCATCTCTGGACTCAAGCAGTGTTCTCCCACCTCAGGCCAAGTAGCTAGAACTCCAGTGAGGGCCAGCACCCAGCCCCACCCCCACCCCCCTTAATACAAATAACACATGTTCACAGCGGACATTGTAGAATTTACCACCAAAGGCAGTTCCTGTCAACAGTTACTGTTCTTCAGATATTTAGTTAAGGTTTAGGGCTTTTTTTTAACGTTTGGATCAAAGTTTCAAAAAAAGATTAAATCAGGATTGCTTATGAGTTAAAAAAAAAAGTAAATTATAATCAGAAAAATGTGTCAACTGCAGTGAAAATTAGATACTTAAAATTTTATTTTTTTCGTGTGTGTGTGTGTGTGTGTGTGTGTGTGTGTGTGTGTGTATGTAGCGTGTATATATGCTTGTATGTGTGCTAGAGGCTGATGTCAAGTGTCTTCCTTGAACTCCGCTTTATCTTCTGAGACAGGGTCTTGTGTTGACCTCTGAGCTCACTGAATCAGCTAGTCTAGCCACCCGGCTTGCCCTGGGAACCCCTGTTTCTGCCTCCTGAGCTCTGGGATAATGGTGGACATCACACCCACCCTGCCGTTTTATAGGGGTTCTGGGGCTCAGCACGCCACTCCTCACACTTGAACAGCAAGTGTTTTATTTACTGAGCTGTCTGCTCATCTTGAGCTGTCTTCGAAAGTGTTGCTCTTCTGGGAGTCAACTCCTCAGGGGATCTTCCTCGTCCTCCAGGTGGGTGAGACCTCTCCTTACCCCGGCTGCAGTTTTCAAAGGAGGTGCATACCTCACTGAGAGGAAACAGACACAAACCATGCTGACAAAGAGGTAGAACCCCACAGTTAGACACTGCTTGTACAGGTCGATGGCCAACTGTTCAGGGGCCCTGATGGCGCACCCACATTTCTGTGAAGAGCAGGCTGCCCTGCCTTTTTCTTGGTGGATTTCAAAGCACATGATCTGCCCTTACCTGATGATGCAGGATACTTGCTTCGGTACTCTCAGGAGCCACATCCCCAGCTCACTGTCCCACGGTTCTTAGTAAACATGTCTCTGAAGGACTGCCTGAAGGATTTGTTGTCCGGGCATTTCTCTAGACACTGTAATTCCACAGTGGTTCTGGTGTCAGGTGTGGTGCGAGTGACGTCCCCTTGAACGAGCAGCTGTCTTGGCTGCTTCTGTTGCGTTTATATGCCAGCATCAGGAACCTGTCATTTAGAGTTATAACGATTATGTTCAACTTCCGTGTGTAGTGAGAGCTGGAAGATACTGGAGAGGGGACCGTGGCTCTACACACATGTCCTGTGTGTGTCCGGCTAGCACTCTGCAGCGAGTGAGCCTTTTGGATCTGATCTCTTGAGTCTGGGTTGTTTGGCCCACACCTCATCTTGGTATCTCTCACCGTGTAATTGCTGAACTGTACATTGACTTTATAGCATCATTTGAGGTTGGGTCAGATGTTAAGAGACACCATACAAGATTCCCAACTACTCACTCAAGAAATGTCGAAGGAGGAACAACATCATCATCACTTGGTCCCCTCTCTGCTAAGACTCAAGACTCACAGGGAAAGCACAGCAGTGCCTTGGGTTTTGGTCTTTGAGTTGTTGGGAACACCTGGTCCCCTCTTCCTTCGGGTCTTTCTACGCGAGGCCTTCTCTCTGCTTGAGATTCTTGTTGGCTCTGACCCTCAACATCCCTCAACCCTTAGCCCCAGGGCCAGCTTCTCCAGCGGAGCCCTCCTGTCCAGCACCCTCAGGCAATCTCTCCTTAGCTTTAGTTTTTAATCAGTTTCTAGCTAAGTAATTTGTTCCCTGATAACGTCTCTTTCCAAGCGGAAAGGCGAGGAGAGCCACGAGAGTGGAGGCCAGGTTTTGTTGTTGTTATTGCTGGCTACTGGTGTCCTGGTACAGTTAGACGTGCAACGAACATCTCCCGACAGTGTGATTGAACTGAAGAAGGATGCAGCGTGGACCCTGAATCCTGGAATTGTTTCCTTCCTTCGCTTTGGCTGCTTCAGAGCTCACACCCACCTTGATTCTGCCTGCTGTGTTTGCAAAGGCCCTGGCCGCATGTGCTTTGCAGACTCACATCTTCCCCGCCATATACTGTCTTCTCTTCCTTTGACATCTTCACTTTATTACTCCAGCAGATGCTCTAAGTGATCATACGCTACTTTCAGGGTTTGGGGGGCGGGGTGAGAATAGTAAACGAACATGCCTATGAATATAAGGAAGGGAACGGGGGCCCAGGGGGAGGGGCTGGTGCTTTGAGCCTGCCGCAGGGCTTGGGTGGACTAAAGAAGACATGATCTTGTCCTCTTGTGTTGCAGATTCATTGCTTCTTTCCCTTGACTCCGCTGGACAAGCACTAGGCACAGGTACCAATTCTTCCCCTCTATCATCTTCTCAGCCCTTAGCGTTGGCCATGTGTGTAGTGAAGCCTTATGAGTTGGGGATGCTTCGGGAGGGCAAGAGACCTGCAGAATTGTGGGAAAAGTCCCCGGGGGCTTCACCGTGGAGGGAGCAGAAGAGGGACATGGTGTGAGACACTTTTCCAGTTGTTTGACAAGTGTGTGCTGAGCTGGGCACGGGGGCGGGAGGCACGGGCAGGTGGGTATCGATGAGTTCGAGGCCAGCCTGGTGTTCATGAGGAATTCCAGGCCAGCCAGGGCTACCTAGTGAGACCCTATCTTAAAATAAAGAAGTCTGCACTGGGAAGTTGCAGCTGGTGGTTTTTCCTCACAGAACTGCCCCGTTCTATGTGAGAGGATGCCTGGTCTCTGAGCGTGTGCCCTGTCTCCGAGCAAGCAGGGCAGAGGACTTTGAGAGACTGCCAGCTCTGAGCAGCCTAGCTTCCTGAGGACATGCCCTCCTGTGCACGTTCACTTCACACACCCGTGTGTTCGGGTAGAGCGCTCTGGGAGGGGAGGGGTTACACCTGCCTGTGCCAGCGCAGGCAGACACTCCCTCCGTGCCTGTGTTTACAGTGCAGGACACGCCATTTGGCACACGCTATTTTGACCCAGAGTCACTGAGGCCGGGAGGTGGCTGTCCCGGTCTGAAGCAGCCCTCCCATCCCCCATACCTCAGTTCTGTTGGCAGAGCAGGAAGGACAAATGCTCTGACTCCTCCCCTCCTCCTCCCCAGGTGGGGGAGCTCGGAACAACTTTGTACCAGGGCAAGGGCATCCCTGTGTGACTAGGTGAAGATGGTCTACTTCATTACTGGGGTGTCACCCTGAATACAGGGAGGCCTGGCTGGCCTTTGGAGGGTGGTTAATCTCATTCGCTGACCTCATACATGATTCATTCATGTTCACAAGGCTCAGGCAATTGTGAGGGACAAAAGGAAAGACGTTCCCACCAGGGAAGGCCTATGCTGTGTCATTGCTGTGCTGGAACTTTCTGCAGCCCTCAGTTATTTATCCCTCACACTAGCTTTGACTTCCCTAATTGTCCTGAAACACACAGTCACCTGTTCAGGGCCCGTCCATCCCCGTCCAGCTCGAGAGCCCACACATACCAACTTTGCCAACTGTGCCAACCGTCTCGGGCCGTTTGTGCCTGAGGCGCCCCCACCATCTGAGAAGTCACTTCAACAGTGTGGAAAGACAAGGAAGAGTTCTTAAAGGAACCCCAAGTTGCCTCTGTACATTATAAGAAAAGATTGGTCAGCTTAATACAATTAAGGATTCTTTTTATCAAAAGACTCCATTAAGATCCTGAAGAGGCAGCTTGAGAAATAAACTTGCATCATAATTAGCTAGCAAAGAATTTGTCTCTAGAACAAAGAACTACAAAAATCATTAAGAATGAACAACCCTGCCTGGTGGTGGTGCACTCCTTTAATTCCCGCACTCGGAAGTCAGAGGTAGGTGGATCTCTGTGAGTTCAAGCCAGCCTAGTCTACAGAGTGAGTTCCAGGACAACAGCCAAGCCTACACAGAGAAACCCTGCCTCAAAAAAAAAGAAAAAGAAAAAGAAAAAAGAATGAACAACCCGGTACAGAAATGAGCAGAAGACTTGAAAAAGCATTTCCGAAAAGAGGTCAATAAACACATAGGAAGGTTTTCAGTTGCGTTAGAATCCAGGAAAGCGAACACTGGAATCCCACTGAGCTATCCCCGCACATCCACAGAACAACAAAACATGACAGCTTGACTGTCCCAGTGTTGACAGGGCCATGATGGAGCAGAAGCAGTCTCCACTGAGTGGGAAGTCAAGTTTTATAATCACTTCCAAAAGACGATGGCAGTATGTAGGTAAGTCTGAACCACACATCCTGACAATTCCTCCTGTAGACATCCTCGTTATAGGGATGGACGCTAACATCTACTCGGATAAATGTTGCACATCTGCATGCGTTCCCCCGTGCCTGTATGTTCCTGTGACAGTCACAGGCAGACACACGCCCTCCCTTCCTGTGTTTACAGTGCAAGACACACTGATTGACACACTGCCCTTTGACCCAGCCTCGCTCAGGTCAGGGAGATGGCTCTCCCAGTCCCAGGCAATATTCAGAATTGTAAGACCCCAAAACAACCCACACAG